CTCAAATGGGTTGTTGGTTTTATGTCACCTATGTAATGGGGTGACTTCTTGTTTCTGTTAAGAAAGTGAAGATGCAGAGGTGTCTCATAGCACCATTAAGTATGGGAACCTGATCTGGCAGAACTTGACAACTTGATTTCCTTTGGTTTTGTTTGCTGTAAGAGTGGAGAAAGATAGAGAGTTCCAGAAAAACATCTACTTCTGCCTCATTGACAACGCAAAAGCCTTTGACTGTGTCGACCACAGCAAACTATGGCAAGTTCTTAAAGAAATGGGAGTGCCTGACCACCTCATCTGTCTCCTGAGAAATCTCTATGTGGGACAAGAAGCTACAGTTAGAACTGGATATGGAACAACTGATTGGTTCAAAATTGGGAAAGGAGTACGACAAGGCTGTATATTGTCTCCCTGCTTATTTAACTTATATGCAGAATTAATCATGCGAAAGGCTGGACTGGATGAATCCCAGAATTGCCAGAAGAAATATCAACAACCTCAGATATGCAGATGACACAACCTTGGTGGCAGAAAGTGAGGAGGAATTAAATGCAAAATATGGTCTGAAGCTCAACATCAAAAAAACTAAGATCGTGGCCACTGGTCCCATCACCTCCTGGCAAATAGAAGGGGAAGAAATGGAGGCAGTGAGAGATTTTACTTTCTTGGGTTCCATGATCACTGCAGATGGTGACAGCAGTCTCAAAATTAAAAGACGCCTGTTTCTTGGGAGAAAAGCGATGACAAACCATCTTAAAAAGCAGAGACATTATCTTGCTGACAAAGGTCCGTATAGTTAAAGCTATGGTTTTCCCAGTAGAGTTGTATGGAAGTGAGAGCTGGACCATAAAGAAGGCTGATTGCCAAAGAATTGATGCTTTTGAATTCTGGTGCTGGAGGAGGCTCTTGAGAGTCCCATGGACTGCAAGAAGATCAAACCTATCCATTCTGAAGGAAATCAGCTCTGAGTGCTCACTGGAAGGACAGATCCTGAAGCTGAGGCTCCAATACTTTGGCAACCTTTTGAGAAGAGAAGGCTCCCTGGAAAAGACCCTGATGTTGGGAAAGATTGAGGGCACAAGGAGAAGGGGACAACAGAGGATGAGATGGTTGGACAGTGTTCTCGAAGCTACGAACATGAGTTTGACCAAACTGTGGGAGGCAGTGGAAGACAGGAGTGCCTGGCGTGGGGTCCATGGGGTCATAAGAGTTGGACATGACTAAACGACTAAACAACAACAGCAACAGCGGAATAAGTGCTCACATGTTGTAGGGATATTACCATTTAATGCTTCTTAGTCCTCAAGATCTACATGGAGATCTATCCCACTGCATACAGTCGTCTGACCACTAGTTGGTGCAAGTGAAAGCTACTGTCTTACTCTGTGTGTTTTGTGCACAAACGCATTAAAAACAAAACACACACAAAAACGATCCACTGTGGAACAACCCAAAATAATTCACCTGGCAAAACTGATCAATACTTTTACATGCACTTGTATTATTTTATTGTTGCAAATCTGATTGCATATATTTGTAGAAAGCAATGAAAATGAAATACAGTGGTACCTCTGGTTAAGAACTTAATTCGCTCCGGAGGTCCGTTCTTAACCTGAAACTGTTCTTAACCTGAGGTACCACTTTAGCTAATGGGGCCTGCCGCCGTGTCACCGCCGCATGGTTTCTGTTCTCATCTTGATGCAAAGTTCTTAATCTGAGGTACTATTTTCTGTGTTTAGTGGAGGTCTGTAACCTGAAGCGTCTGTAACCTGAGGTACCACTGTAATAAATAATGTTCACTAATAAGAGCTCTGGGAATCAGTTTTTTAGAAGAAGGGAAAGGTCCCCCAGTTTCAGTTGGGCAAAAAATGCTCAAACTTGGCCTTTTTCTTCCCCACAAATTCTAAATTTGCTCATAATTCTGTCACCCTAAGAGGCCTCAGACCTCCCTTCATGATGGCTGTGGCTGAGGGGGGGCCTTCTGCTGCTTCTGTGGCACTTCTAGCAATGCACTCCCCCCCCGCCCCAATTTTCTGTTCTTCTTCACAGCAGCAAGAGTTGAAGAGACTGGGGTCTTCTCCTCCTAACCCCGACACATGGGACATTGTTAGGGCAGGTTGCACCAGGGAACCCTGGGAAGAGCGATTTCCCCACATTGCCGGACAGAATGTCAAGACATCTACAAAATTACGCTTTCGAGGACTCCCTGCTGGGGAAAGAGAGAGAGTTTGTGAAGGAGCCTTGAATTTTCAGGCTTTAGAAGCATCTGTAATAGGAATAGTTCAAATAAATATTCAAAAGGTACCTTCATGCATATTTCTCATTGTATTATAGTATGCCTTTTGGAAAATATTTTAATTTGAAGAATAGTTGGCTGCTGGTGGCTGGTTTTTCATGTTTTGCCTTACCACTATAGAGCCGTGTGAATATCTGAACAGGTTGTTTAAAATACATGGTCAAGTGTTAAGGCTTCATTGCTTGTGGAGTTGTGGGTCTCCCAGTGTCTCATCTCACGTGTTCTTTAGCGTATCATTTCTCAGTGGGAATCTGCTGTTTTAGAATAGCAGCTCGTATGAACAACTAGTGAATAAATGGATGGTTTCAGTGCCACACAGGGTGATTTTTTTAAATAAATAAATAAATTAAATAAATCATTTTTTTTTTAAATCAGATTTTTAAAATAAAATGCTTTCGGAGGAAAAATCTTTCTAAAGATAGTTTTCTATTTAAGTTACATTATAGTCCAGTGGCTATTCATCAGGAAATAAGGATTTGTTTTAAGTTTTTTCATGTGTGCTAAAACTCATTCTAAGTTGTGTGCTGTTGTTTTTCTTAAAAAACAACAACCTACGTTTAACCACATCAGTTAACAAACATGGATACATATGCTATAATGTTATTGCTTTTAGTTGAATAAATTGTTTAAATTGTTTTTAAGGAAATGATTATTTTTCTCCTTCCAATAAAGTACAGCAGAAAGTTGTCAAAATATAAACAGTTAACTTATTAAACCTCACAATAATTCATAATTATCTGTCTATGTATTTCTAACAGTATAACCAAATCAGTAATTTTTGATTATAACTATAAAAACTATTCTGAAAATTTATTATTCCAAAAATGAACCTTCCTCTGGTTGTAAATATTTAGATTATACTAGCAAGATGAGTCTTTTCTGTAAAAAAAAAGAAAAAGATTTAAATCAAGTCTTACTGACTAGTGATCTAAATCAATTTGATTTAAATCACATCCACCCTGGTGCCGCATAAGTTTGTTTCTCCTTTTGAAATAAATGGAAATTACTTGAAAATTAAAGACATCTTGGGAGCCCTACATCTACTTGTAGATAAAACAATCACCTAAGTGCAGAGCTCTGCATACTGGTAATGCATAGAGGCAATGCCTCCTGCAGTTCTGTAAAAGGCAGAGGCGGTCCCATTTATTTATTATTATATTGATTGAGGTAATTATGTATTACTATATATTTATTAAGACTATGTTAGCCTGCCCTTCATCAAGGAACCCAGGGTGTGTTACAGTGTTTTTTAAAACAACAATGTGAACAATATCAAAGTAGAACAGTAATATGGTTGACATTTTATAACATAAAAGCAACCAATTGCAGCCAGCAGGCTTCATTGGTGCTGGAGAAATCATGTGTGCAATGGAGATACATAGGCTAATAGAATCCTAGAGTTGGAAGGGATCTAATCCAGAATGCGGCAGCTAGACTGGTGACTGGGAGCGACTGCCGAGACCACGTAACACTGGTCTTGAAAGACCTACACTGGCTCCTAGTACGTTTCCGAGCACAATTCAAAGTGTTGGTGCTGACCTTTAAAGCCCTAAATGGCCTTGGTCCACTATACCTGAAGGAGCGTCTCCACCCCCATCATTCTGCCTGGACACTGAGGTCCAGCGCCAAGGGCCTTCTGGCGGTTCCCTCGCTGCGAGAAGCCAAGTTACAGGGAACCAGGCAGAGGGCCTTCTTGGTAGTGGCACCCGCCCTGTGGAACGCCCTCCCACCAGATGTCAAAGAGAAAAACAACTACCAGACTTTTAGAAGACATCTGAAGGCAGCCCTGTTTAGGGAAGCTTTTAATGTTTAATAGGTTATTGTATTTTAGTGTTTTGTTGAAAGCCACCCAGAGTGGCTGGGGAAACCCAGCCAGACGGGCGGGGTAATAAATTAAATTATTATTATTATTATTATTATTATTATTATTTGAAGAAAAAGACAGTTGTGCAGGGGCCAAATCTTGATTAGGTTGGTACAGGCTGGGATGATTTGCTCTATTTCCCCCCCCTGATTTACACTTTGCCTTTTAGGTCACGGCAGGGTGAATTTTAAGAGAATTCATGAGGGTTTATACGCTCTTACCAGAATCCTGGAAGCAACGGGTAAGGACAAACCAGCCATTTATTTTATGACTCTGTGCCAAATGAGAGATCTTTCCTTGTTGTGGTACCTAGAACCGCTCATCAGGTTCCAGGGCAGCCTTGCCCAAACCTGCTACCTTCCAGAATACAACTCCTATCATCCCTGCCCCTTGGCTGGAGCTGATGGGAGTTGTAGTCCAAAACATCGGGGGGGGGGGGCAGGAGTTTGGGGAAGGCTTTCCCAGAAAATGTGTTTTCGTTGTCATTCCCTAGCAATCTCAAGCTCAAAGCTAATGCTCAGTTCTGTGATTCCGTGCCCTGATAGTCGACTTTATAAAATGCAAATCTGCCATAGGAGGTTGAGAGTTAGTCTCTTGGGTGGGTGTGCGCGCGCGCGCGCACTTAACCCTTTCCTGCCAATAAATGGCCAGGCTACTTTTCCACTTGCAGGGAGGAAATCCTTTGTTAGCCGTAGTTTTAGGCTTGCTCCCAAATGAATGAAAAATGACCAACTGCATCTTCATCCCTCCTGCCCTTGGCAGTGCTGACGGACGCTATGAATGCCATGAGTAATATCAGAGGTGACCAAGTCCAGGTGGATGACCTGCCCAAAACCTTGGCCAATGTGGGCATCAAATTGGACACCAGAGGAACTCCAGCAGCTGATCCACTCAGTTCCAGTCACAGGTGAGATCAGGACACTTGCTTGGGGCCATGTTGTGTCTTTTTGCATTGTAAGCCTGTGGAAAAGGACTGTCATTCCCCCCCCCCTTTTCCCTTGCTGCTTTAATGAACCACATTGCCTTCAATATGTCCTGTGCTGGATTTACGTATAAGCTAAACAAGCTATAGCTTAGGGCCCCACTCTCTTAGGGACCCCAAAAAAAATTAAAGGAAAAAAACCTGGATGTACATTTCCAAAATATAAGATAAAAAACAAATAAAATAAATCCTACATACAGCAACAGTGTTTGGTGTTGTGTAGGCTCCTATGATATAAGTGATGGGCCCCGCCTGCTAGCCTGCTCCCTAAAATATCACTGGTTTGCTCATTTCTATATATAGGGTGCCTACATTCTGTATGTGCAAATGGCTTTAGATACCTATTAGGTCAATAAATTACCATATAGCATATATTCAACACAAAAAAACAGCGAAAATTTGTTGTTGACAAAGGACAGCTGGACGTATAAAGGGCCTCATTACCTTCAGTAGTTTAGGGCCTCATCAAACCTAAATCCGGCCCTGAGTATGTTACATTACCCTTCTCTCTCGCCCCCCCCCCCCAAAAAAAAGTCCCACACCTAAGTCTAGGATCACACTGACACACTGAGACAGTTAACTTGTGCCTAGGGCTGTACAACTGCAGCATGCAAGCAAAAACCGAATATCTGAATGTCTACCATACCGATAGCAGCATTCACATGGAAAGGGAGAAAGGTGATTTGTAAGCTGCTCAAGGAGCCTTTTTGGCTGAAGAGCAGGATTAATAATAATAACCAGTTGATTATTTTTTGGTGCCAAGACAGATCACAGAAACGTTTGTAAGAACAAATGCAAGATCGCCTTACCCCACAAAGGCCCACTCAGCCTCTTCGTTCTGCAGAACTCTGGCTGCTACAGATGCCAAATAATACTCGTTCCACAGTTATAAGAAATCAGTATTTTAGTCTGACAGCACCTACGCTTTGGAACGCCTGCCTTTTGACACCATTGTACACTTTCCGGTGCCTCCTAAAAGCCATTTTTTTTTGGACAAGCCTACCCAGATATGTAGGATGTTTGCATGTGTTTTAATGTTTTAAATAGCTGTTTTTAATTGTTCTTAACTGATGCTTTTATTGTTTTGCTGTTTTCTTTTTCTGAACTGCTTTTGGGACATTTGTTTTTTGTTTTGCTTTGTTTTAAAGAAATCAGGCGGTAGATAAATTTTATGAAATAAATGAATAAATAAGAACAAGATTTCCCACACGTAGGTACAAGTTATCCCCCTCTACTTCTCTGCTATTCTGTTCCTTACAGGAGACGGGACTGTAGGCTTTGATGAGATTATTAGGAGTATAACTGGTACGCAGTCTATCTCAGAATTTGATGGTAAGACCACAGAAAACAATATCTTGATTGCCCAACAATACTTCAGTGCATATGAAAATATTGAGTGAATGTGCAGATGAGGGAAGGGGTTAATAATAATAATACAGTAGCACCTCGGCTTACATTACCCTCGGGTAACGTAAACTTCGGGTTGCAAAAGCGGCAAACCAGGAAGTGTTTCGCCACACGCACATGCGCAGAAGCAGTCTACTGCCATGTGCGCATGCGCAGAAGCAGTCCCTCTGGTTGCAGAAACCTCAGGATCCGACCAGAGCTCCGGAACGGATCCCGTCCGCAATTGGAGGTGACCCTTCCTTTGTTTTGTGTTTTTCCTGGGATCCTCGGAGCAATCAGGGAGTTGCATCAAAGAGTCAAAATGACAGCAGTAACAGAATCGTTTATTTTGTCATGACAAAAATGGTACAGACAAGCGTTTGCCCGATGTCTGCCCCCCCCCCCCGGCATGCTAGCTTTTTATACCCTGTAGAATGGACAGTCATCTGATTCCGAGAAAACGCGTGTTTTACAAGAAATGCCATAAAAATTAGGTTTCGTTTTTCCATATTTGGATCAACTTCCTTATTTCACGTATTTCCAGCCCCTCCCTCACAGCCCTGCTCTGCTAAAAGAAGAGTTTATTGTTTTATGGCCTTGTAGTCTTGACACCTCCCTGCAAAGGGGCACACTGGCCGTCTTGTTCTGCTACAGAAAGAAGTTTTGTTCTGTTACAGACATTAATGAAGGAAGAAGGAAGCTTTCTTTCTTTTGGGGGACCACATATAAAAAGGAAAAAGCAGGGATAAAGGCAAAAAGCAGGGTTGGATATAAAAAAGGAAATAATATACTATAAAATAATAGTCTTATGGCCCTTCACCATCCCCTCTTGTTGCCCAAATGGGGGTTAATGCCAGCTGTTCGCCTTTCAAGGATGTGTCCCCTCCCAGTTCTCGCTGCCTAAAACCAGCCTGTTGCAAATCATCTTACGGTTGTCTCCGGACTGCCGGTGGTGAAATGGGAACGAGTGTAAAAACGAACGCTCTTGATCCTTTGCTCTGCCAGCTTTAAAGAAGGCTTTTGACGCAATCAGCGGGCTCTGCAAACAGAAGATCAAGAAGGAAGAGTTGCCAGTTGCTCTGGAAATCCTGGGCATTCGGCTATCAGCCGAGGAACTTCAGCTAGCTCTGACATCTGTCTCCATTGATGGTGAGATTTTAATTAATTTTCTATATGTTCCCAAAGGCCTCCATGACATCATTCATAACAGTACAACCAACGTGGTTGTATTTCCTTGTTTCTCTGGCTAATATCCTAGGGTTCCATCTCCATTTAATCTTCTCCCTTCAGACTTAAGAAACTGAGCGCAGGGTAGGACTCTGTGAAGGGGGCAAGGGCATGCAAATAGGAGTGGACTAGGTTGACAAAACCTACAAGAGAGAGCACTATTGGGAGAGGGCCCAGTAAGTAGCTTAGGAGTCTCTGATGCTCCAGAATTGCTGCAGCTGAGCAGGTGTGGAAAGGAGACCACATGTGAGTTCAGATACAAGTTTAATAAGTAAACTTTTGCAGGAGGGGCAACACCTGCATTGCAGCATGTAAGGGTCCTTCTAGGGGACGCGGGTGGCACTGTGGGTTAAACCACAGAGCCTTGGCTTTGCCGATCAGAGGGTCAGTGGTTCGAATCCCCGTGACGGGGTGAGCTCCCATTGCTCGGTCCCTGATCCTGCCAACCTAGCAGTTCGAAAGCACATCAAAGTGCAAGTAGATAAATAGGTACTGCTCCGGCGGGAAGGTAAACGGCGTTTCTGTGCACTGCTCTGGTTCGCCAGAAGCAGCTTAGTCATGCTGGCCACATGACCCAGAAGCTGTACGCCGGCTCCCTCGGCCAATAAAGCGAGATGAGACCGCAACCCCAGAGTCGGCCACGACTGGACCTAATGGTCGGGGTCCCTTTACCTTTAAGGGTCCTTCTAGACTGGCTCTCTCACCATTCAGCCTGCCATAATCATGGGCATTTTGCTAGCACAAACAGCACCTCCCTTTGGGTGGGGCTTATCCATTTTCTTCAGGGCCCAGTATCCTCATCGCGCCATAGAGCATCACTTCGCCACTGGGATTCCTGGCATCTTCAGTGGGAACAGCACACACAGCTTCAAATTCCAGCTGCAAATGCTTGGACGTCACTCCAGTCCTTGGTGGGAAAAGGTCATCTTCTGGGGGCTGGGAACTTCTGCGGCCACCATTGTTGCCTGGCTGTTGGCATATTTCCTTTTGCCATTCAGAAGGGTAGCAGGTGGCTTCTCGGTATTTAGAATGCATGCAAAAGCTTTCCTCGCTTTCAGCATGAACACAGGGATGTTCCTCGTGCACCTTTAGTCATGTATTTATATGTTTTATGTACAGCTTCTCTCACTCCCCCACCAAAGGCTGTTGGAAATCCACATTTTTTTTATTATTTTAATGGTGGGGCAATTTACAAAATATTTTTTTAAGCCATGAGCTGATCTGTGGTTGATTGAAGGGGCTGTATCCCCTTTCGTGGCAAATACCAGCTAAATGGCACCTTTCCTATGTGATCACTTTCCAAATGGCACCTTTCCTATGTGATCACTTATTTGTCTGATTGTTTCCCCTTTTCTCTCAATCCGTTGAAGGTTCAGGGAGACTGGATGGGATCGAATTCCTGAAGGTTTGGTTCAATTCCCCACACTTTTTTGAATTCATAGGTAAGCATTTGGAAAGCTGGGGAAAGTGAACTTGAGCCTAAGCTCCATGGAGGTTGGCAGGCTGTGATTGCGCTGCCATCGGGAGGTCAGGTGACAAACAAGTGGGGAATGAGGAGAGAAGAGCCTTGGCTCTGTCAGTTTACTGCTCTTTCCTCATCCCTTCGCTTCCCATTCAGCAACAGTGACTGAATGGCCCTGTTTCTCAGCCTCTGCTCCACACTCAGCCAGTGTGGTGTAGTGGTTAAGAGCGGTAGTCTCATAATCTGGGGAACCGGGTTTGCGTCTCGGCTCCTCCACATGCTGCTGCTGGGTGACCTTGGGCTAGTCACACTGCTCTGAAGTCTCTCAGCCCCACTCACCTCACAGAGTGTTTGTTGTGGGGGAGGAAGGGAAAGGAGAATGTTAGCCGCTTTGAGACTCCTTAAAGGGAGTGAAAGGCGGGATATCAAATCCAAACTCTTCTTCTTCTTCCACACAATGCAGTGAGTGATCTGAGCCTAGAGTCAGAGGAGAAAATTCAGAGGGGTTTTTTTTTTTGCATTTAATGAGAAACTCCCAAACTTCTTCAGCCAATATCCAAGCCGAAACACCGCAATCCAAAATGTGCACTTCTCTCAATTTTTTGATGCCGTTCTTCAACTGAACCTATGTACGAAATGGGGGGAATAATAAGGGGGGCAGCAACTAAAACCATCCCAATGAAAAGGAAATGCAAGAAAGCAAAGTGGCTGTCCAACGAGGCCTTACAAATAGCGGGGGGGAGAAGGCAAGCAAAATGCGAGGGAGATAGTGAAAGATACAGGAAATTGAATGCAGATTTCCAAAGAATAGCAAGGAGAGACAAGAAGGCCTTCTTAAACGAGCAATGCAAAGAAATAGAGGAAAACAACAGAATGGGAAGAACCAGAGATCTGTTCAAGAAAATTGGAGATATGAAAGGAACATTTTGTACAAAGATTTCCATAATAAAAGACAAAAGTGGAAAGGACCTAACAGAAGCAGAAGACATCAAGAAGAGGTGGCAAGAATACACAGAGGAATTATACCAGAAAGAAATGGATGTCTCGTACACCCCAGGTAGTGTGGTTGCTGACCTTGAGCCAGACATCCTGGAAAGTGAAGTCAAATGGGCCTTAGAAAGCATCGCTAATAACAAGGCCAGTGGAAGTGATGATATTCCAGCTGAACTATTTAAAATTTTAAAAGATGATGCTGTTAAGGTGCTACACTCAATATGCCAGCAAATTTGGAAAACTCAGCAGTGGCCAGAGGATTGGAGAAGATCAGTCTACATCCCAATCCCAAAGAAGGGAAGTGCCAAAGAATGCTCCAACTACCGCACAATTGTACTCATTTCACACGCTAGCAAGGTTATGCTTAAAATTCTACAAGGCAGGCTTAAGCAGTATGTGGAACGAGAACTCCCAGAAGTGCAAGCTGGATTTTGAAGGGGCAGAGGAACCAGAGACCAAATTGCAAACATGCGCTGGATTATGGAGAAAGCTAGAGAGTTCCAGAAAGACATCTATTTCTGCTTCATTGACTATGCAAAAGCCTTTGACTGTGTCGACCACAGCAAACTATGGCAAGTTCTTAAAGAAATGGGAGTGCCTGATCACCTCATCTGTCTCCTGGGAAATCTCTATGTGGGTCAAGACGCTACAGTTAGAACTGGATATGGAACAACTGATTGGTTCAAAATTGGGAAAGGAGTACGACAAGGCTGTATATTGTCCCCCTGCTTATTTAACTTATATGCAGAATTCATCATGCGAAAGGCTGGGCTGGATGAATCCCAAGCCGGAATTAAGATTGCCGGAAGAAATATCAACAACCTCAGATATGCAGATGACACAACCTTGATGGCAGAAAGCGAGGAGAAATTAAAGAACCTTTTAATGAGGGTGAAAGAGGAGAGCGCAAAATATGGTCTGAAGCTCAACATCAAAAAAACGAAGATCATGGCCACTGGTCCCATCACCTCCTGGCAAATAGAAGGGGAAGAAATGGAGGCAGTGAGATATTTTATTTTCTTGGGCTCCATGATCACTGCAGATGGTGACAGCAGTCACGAAATTAAAAGACGCCTGCTCCTTGGGAGAAAGGCGATGGCAAATCTAGACAACATCTTAAAAAGTAGAGACATCACCTTACCAACAAAGGTCCGTATAGTTAAAGCCATGGTTTTCCCAGTAGTGATGTATGGAAGTGAGAGCTGGACCATCAAGAAGGCTGATCGCCGAAGAATTGATGCTTTTGAATTATGGTGCTGGAGGAGACTCTTGAGAGTCCCATGGACTGCAAGAAGATCAAATGCATCCATTTGTAAAGAAATCAGACCTGAGTGCTCACTGGAAGGACAGATCGTGAAGTTGAGGCTACAATACTTTGGCCACCTCATGAGAAGAGAAGACTCCCTGGAAAAGACCCTGATGTTGGGAAAGATGGAGGGCACAAGGAGAAGGGGACGACAGAGGATGAGATGGGTGGATAGTGTTCTTGAAGCTACAAACATGAGCCTGACCAAACTGCGGGAGGCGGTGGAAGACAGGAGTGCCTGGCGTGCTCTGGTCCATGGGGTCACGAAGAGTCGGACACGACTAAACGACTGAACAACAACAACAAATAGGAGGAAATGTGCTCTTTTTTTGTGTAAAAGTTATTTTAAACATTTTTTCGGTTCATTATATATAATTTCCCAGAATGCTTTTATTACCTTACACGTCCACCACATATGATAAAAGGTCCCTTCTTTTACTTTACGCTTCCAACAGATATTTGTACCCCTCTTACACATTTTTGCCAACTTACTAGGGGTTAAATGTTGGGATACTGCCAGGGAGACAAAGGCCATCATGCCTCCAGGCCGTCTCCCGGTCTCTGGTGGAAACAGTATCAGTCAATTAGTGACACGAGCCTCAGAAATAGCTGTCCACATTCCAGGACTCGTGCACGCCCTTTACGCAGAGTTTCCACAACGAAAGATGCACCCAGGAGAGCATTTTTTACAGATTTATTCAGCGTTGGTCAGAGCAAAGGAAAAACATGTCTACCTGCTTCGATGTCGAGGCAACAGAGAGAAACAAAAGCTATATACAAAACAGAAACTTCCCGTGAGCAGGAAGTACGCAGGCTTGTTACACACAACAGCCTGCTCCCTTTTTAAGGTGGAACGGAAAAATTCTAACATTAAATACCAACAGTACATCATTTTCCTATAATTTTCTTTCAACGTACAGCATGCCGTGAATTTCAAATCCGTTCTCCATAACTTCTCAAAACGCTGACAGATTTTCATGAGGATTTTTTTAAATTACAAAATGGCAAACTCGTGCAGAAATATGGCGAGTTGAACTACTCAGTACGGTGAATAAGGGGACTGATGACAGCCCTTCCTTCCTTCCTTCCTTCCTTCCTTCCTTCCTTCCTTCCTTCCTTCCTTCTTTCCTTCCTTCCTTCCTTCCTCCCTCCCTCCCTCCCTCCCTCCCCATTCATGTCCTCCTCCAGCACTGCGAGATGCCATGAAGCATGTTGAAAGCATCAGAAACAAGAAGATGACAGTTCAGCAGCTGGAGGGAAGTCTGGGTGGCCTGGGACTCTACTTGCCCAATAAAACTTTCAACGATATAGTCAAATCAGTCAAAACTGACGGTAAGAAAGATTTACCTGTTGTCCGTCCTCTAAGCCCCTCTCTGTTCCTAGACAGTCGACACAGGCATTGCCTGGGCCTCACCAAGATTAATGAAGAAGCTTTTACAAGATAACATGAGGAAAAGCTGCATATTGTTTAGGGATGAATGGGTGGATGGATGGATGGATTGGCTGCAGCCAATCAGAAGCCGCGCTTTGGTTTCCAAATGCTTTGGAGGTCGGACAGACTTCTGGAACGGATTCCGTTTGACTTCCAAGGTATGACTGTACAGGGATTCTTCTGCCTACAAAATCAACCCAGTCATTGTCTTCCTGCACACAATGGGCAGAGTGGGAGGTGGAGGAATTTAAAACTAATAGTGCCATCTCAGTGTGATATTTCATCTTTTGCTAGCCATTGAGCACAGATTCTGGCTTTATCTGCATGATGCAAGAAAGGACCTAAATCTCATGCAATGTACTTTCTTTATCCCAATATTTTCCTTGCACGTTAAACTAAAAAAAAGTGTTTCCCCCCTCTCCAGAGAATGAGCAGATCTATTTCAAAGACTTTTTGTTAGGATTGGGTGAAACGGAGGATTTCACTGAACTGGAAGGTAAGTTCAGTGCTCTTTTCTAGTCTTCTTTGGTGAAACGGATACATATATCAAATGTCCTTATTTGAGATGTAGATTTGAGCACCATTTACCCCAACCATCCTCTTCCCTTATTGCCTGCTTCAGATTTCCTCCCAGATGCCTTCTTGCATCTTCCTCTATCTCTATCTATCTATCTATCTATCTATCTATCTATCTTCTATCATCTATCTATCTCTATCCTTTTTAGGTTCATACATTTCACTAATTTTACAATCATTCTGCCATTTCAAAACTTGACTTCCTTCGTCCTCTTTCTGCGGTTCCTTAAATTTGTTTTTAATATCTTCTGCATATCCAAATTAACTCCTTTACTCCTTTAAATATATACTCTTATAAAACTGCAGGTTATGACAATAATCCTGCCAATGTTTTCATCTGTTTATAATTTATCTGTAAATATTCAACAAACCATTTCCATTCTTTTATTTTAAAAAATTGTTATCTTGATTTCTTATTTGTATTCTTTATTATTCTTATTCTTCTGGTAAGCTTTTGCCATAAGTTTCTGTATCCATTCTTCCTTTGCTGGGACTTCTGCTTCTTTCCATTTTGGGGCAAGTAACATTCTTGCTGCTGTTTTAGCATACATGAATAATCTTTCTCACCACTTTCACTCTTTTTCTCTCCCCCTGTTGCCTCCTTCAGTCTTGAAAGCACATAATGAAGTATAAGATTGGGGAAAGATTTGGATTAGCAGCTGCATAGGAGGAGGGGGAATAGGAAAGCCAGACATGGTTGTTATATGATGAATTCTGCAGAAATTCAATATTTTTAAGGAAAACGTAACAGAAGGGGAACAAAGCATGTTTATGCCGCAGTCAAGACAAGTTGAAAGTAGGGATGCTTGAGGATTTTCTTTGGTCTGCATTTTTAAGAATGCTTCCTGGACTACCATGCAGAATACTTGTCCTTCGGGGGTTGTATTTTGGTTTTCATTTCTCAATATAGTTCTCGGCTCAAAAAAGTATCAAGACACGGTCAAAAATTCGTATTTTAGGGTAAAATGCACAGGGCAGGGGGAATGTATTTTCATCCAGGTTTATTCAAAGCAGAATTATGCATAAATGGGAGGGATCAGACACTGAGGTCCAGTGCCGAGGGCCTTCCGGCAGTTCCCTCACTGCAAGAAGCCAAGTTACAGGGAACCAGGCAGAGGGCCTTCTCGGTAGTGGCACCCGCCCTGTGGAATGCCCTCCCATCAGATGTCAAAGAAGTTTTTAACCACTGATGTTTTAATGTATTTTTAATCTTAGTTGGAAGCCGCCCAGAATTGCTGGGGAAACCCAACCAGTTGGGTGGGGTATAAATAAATTATTATTATTATTATTATTAATCATGAATGAATGAATGAATGTATGCTAAACTGGGAAAGACCAATAATAGACTGACCCACCCCTCGCAGGATGATGTCCAAGCAGCCCTCCATATTGTGGATGACAGGGTCAGGCTAGATACATTTGTACTGTGATTGTGTACATTTCTAAATTAAGAAGGAAAGGATACCACTTCCTGAAATGTGCACAAGCCTCAATTCAGAGGAATCACTATGATCCACAACAATCCAATCCAATGCTTAACGTTATGCTCCCCACATGTGATCTGAAATCTGGGGAAGCAGGGGAGTGATGCAGTTATTCTCCCCCTCTTGGAAGGACAATACAAATGGCTGCATCATCATATGGTTACACACACATTGTGGTAGACTCCCACATAGTAAATACCTGCAGTTCCCTGTATGCATACAGTCTTAGCTTAATTATGGGTAGTCCGCCTTTGCTTAGAGTACTGCCAGCTTGCATTTCATGTGAAATTTGGCCAGGTCTAGGCATTTCTTGGGGCACGGGTGGCGCTGTGGTCTAAACCACTGAGCCTAGGGCTTGCCAATCGGAAGGTCAGCAGTTCGAATCCCTGTGATGGGGTGAGCTCCCATTGTTTGGTCCCTGCTCCTGCCAACCTAGCAGTTCAAAAGCACATCAAGTACAAGTAGATAAATAGGTACCACTCTGGCGGGAAGGTAAACAGCGTTTCCATGCGCTGCTCTGGTTCGCCAGAAGCGGTTTAGTCCTGCTGGCCACATGACCCAGAAGCTGTGTACAGACAAACGCCGGCTCCCTCGGCCAGTAAAGCAAGATGAGCGCTGCAACCCCAGAGTCGTCCGCGACTGGACCTAATGGTCAGGGGTCCCTTTACCTTTACCTTTTTACGCATTTCTTAATGCATCTGACGTGAATGTGCATATCGTTTGGTAGTCCTTACTCTTTAACATGCCACGAGGCTCTTGTTTTTACTGCAGCAGGCTAACAACAAGGCAACTCCTCTAGAACTTCCCACTTTCCTGTCGCCCCCTAGGGGTAGCAGAAGGAATAGATGTGTGGGCATAGGCCCGTCCAGGTGTGCTGGCCTCTGTTGTTGGCATTGGATTGGAACTTACTCTTGCTTCTCTCCAGCCTTACAGCGCGCTGCCACCATCATCGACATAGGGAACAATGGCTGGATGCAACCAAAGGAGCTGCAGTCCACTCTGGATACTTTGGGCATCTACTTGAAACATGAAGAGTTCCAGGAAATTGCAAAGGAGCTCATGAATGGTGAGTTTTGTGGGCAAGGGGAAACTGAGCATGAGTTTTGGTTTTGCATGCTCAGTCTCTGCTACGCAACAGAGAAAACACGATGTCTATGGCAGGCTGAGCCAGATAGCTGTTCATGTTCTTCCTCATAAAAAAACCCCCTCCCCTCCTAGTAGTAATATCTAGGACTGAGGCAAGACATGCGGACTTGCTTAGCCAAATCAAACCATCCTAGCAATAATTAAGGAGACTATGGAACAGGGGTGGAAGATGTTCTCCCATTCCAAGTGAGGGCAGGAAGCATTCCAGTCACTCTGATTTGACTTTGCAATGCCATCGCCAGTGAACGGCTTCGTCCCTCTGAATGGGCATGAACTTAAAGATGCACAGCATCAGTGGCCCATTTCTAATTTGTTGTCGACAGGAAGCAGTGTTCAGGCCACTCTCCTGAAGATGTGTTTCCTGCTGCACCAGAAAATCATGGCCACAATATTTTTAATAATAATAATAATAATAATAATAATAATAATAATAATAATAATAATTTATTTATACCCCGCCCATCTGGCTGAGTTTCCCCAGCCACTCTGGGCGGCTCCCAATCAAGTGTTAAAACCAATACAGCATTAAATATAAAAAACCTCCCTAAACAGGGCTGCCTTCAGATGTCTTTTAAAATTAAGATAGCTGCTTATTTCCTTGACATCTGATGGGAGGGTGTTCCACAGGGCGGGTGCCACTACCGAGAAGGCTCTCTGCCTGGTTCCCTGTAACCTCGCTTCTCACAGTGAGGGAACTGCTAGAAGGCCCTCAGAGCTAGACCTCAGTGTCCAGGCTGAACGACGGGGGTGGAGACGCTCCTTCAGGTATACAGGATCGAGGCTGTTTAGGGCTTTAAAGGTCAGCACCAACACTTTGAATTGTGCTCGGAGCCAATGCACGTCTCCACCGCAGATTTAAAACTGGTTTCAAATTTAAAATTTGAAAACTGGTTTTATGTTATTAAGGTTTCGCTTTTCAGCCCCACCCCCTAAATTGGTGAGTGCGGATAAGTTTTTCTCCTTTTCTTTTTGAGACCCTAACCATTTCAATCGCCCCCTTGGCTTGGGGCAATTATAGTTAAACAGTTTTGAAAGGAATTTATACGTGGAGTGGACTTTTCCCAAGACCATACTAAATGCCAGTGTGACCCTTTTCTAATGGAAGGAGCCAACAGTTTGGCTACTGCAGCTTATAAAATACTGTTGATTTGAAAAAATCCTTTAAAATTTCTACCCTGTTTGTCTTGCAACAATCGTGTTGGGTTACCCATTCTAGAATTGAGTCCCCCATTCAATATACAGTGGTACCTCGGGTTAAGTACTTAATTCGTTCGGGAGGTCCGTTCTTAACCTGAAACTGTTCTTAACCTGAAGCACCACTTTAGCTAATGGGGCCTCCTGCTGCTGCCACGCCGCCGGAGCACGATTTCTGTTCTCATCCTGAAGCAAAGTTCTTAACTTGAAGCACTATTTCTGGGCTAGCGGAGTCTGTAACCTGAAGCGTATGTAACCTGAAGCGTATGTAACCTGAAGCATATGTAACCTGAAGTGTATGTAACCCGAGGTATCACTGTACTGGGGAACTGGAGCAGAAAGATACTCACTTGCTCACAATGAATTCGGGCAGGGTCACAATTCTGAGGTGGGAAAAGGGCAGGTCCATAGGCCAGGTGATATGTTCCTCATAAGCAGGAAACCGTTGCAGACTGAGGGAGAAATCGACTACTCTGAATATTATCAGCCTTCAATCTCTGCCTGCTTCAGGAGCAGACAGGATCCTGACTTTTAGGAACCCAACCTCTTCTTGCTTTTTAATGGCCCTGTTCTTCTGTCGCTCAATTGTTTTGTCCTGTTTCATCTTTTCCTTCCAGACGAAGGGATTGTAAACGTCAAGGACTGCCTGATAACTCTGTCCAAGAGGCAACGCTTCAAGGACTCTTTGGGTGAGCGTCTTAACTACAAGGGCATAGATATAGGAGAGGGTGTGAGGTTGGTGCTAACGATGAGTAAGCCTCAGTTTGGAACTGTGCTCAACAAGCTGAGCTGTTCTTGGCCGCCACCCCCCGCAAAGAAAGGTAAGAAAATTAGCTTGGTTTTTGTTCTGAGTCCAGTTCAGAAAGCATCAGGAGAATAACAGTGTCGCAGTCCCTTCCCTTTTCTACTGTGAGACCTCCAGACCCCTTTATGTGGCTTCTGCTATGGCAGCAGTAACTGCTTCTGCTGCAAATTATTATTATTATTATTATTATTATTATTATTATTATTATTATTATTACCCCGCCCTCCCCAGCCAAGACTGGGCCCAGGGCGGCTAACACCGAATATAAAAACAATTGATTAGAAAACAACAGCTTAAAAACAAAATTAAAATACAGCATTAAAACATTAAAATGCAGCCTCATTTCAGTGGAACTCAATCAAAAACTTTTTTGGGGATAAAAACGTCAAGTCTTCACCAAGGCTAACTGTCCAGACCGGTCCTACATGGGTCAGAAAAAAGCCAGGGAAGTCCCTAAATAGGAGTTCCAACACAGAAGGAGAAAGGAAAAAAGAAAGAGGGGGAGGGAATCAAATTGATTCCGATGCAGCTGTAAACATGTTGTCCAGGGACTTTAGTTTTTAGGATGTCAAATATATTGAGAAAACGACATTTCTAAGAGTCCTTGACTCTGGGGGTGCTGCTGTAGCAACATTCCAAGTTGAAATACAAACTTTGTTGTGACTTCAGCGATAGGCTCAAATTGTGGAAATGGCATCTTCCTGTATGGAAAACGTGGCAATATACGGTTGTTGATTATCACTTGCATGTATGAAAGGGTAAACCTGAACCAGAAATAAGCTCAAGGTATCATGGAAGGAACTCAACAGGCTCCTAGCATCTTTGCCACTTCTTTTCTCTCTCTTTCTGCCTTCCTGGAAGAAGCCAGTAGCTGCATGGCTCCCAGCTCAACAAAACTACACATGGCTAAACTCCCTAACTAGGAAATTTACACAGCCCGAATATCTTTGCTCACAGAAAAAATGCATGGTCCTTTGTAATTAAACCAAGTATTTTTTCTTTTTAAACCAATTGGAAACTTTTCTTCTTCTTCTTCCTTTGCTGCCTGTAGGATAGAGACATGCATAGGCTTATTTCTGTGACTACTGAAACTCTTTTAAGTGCAATCTTCACCTGCTTGCAAAACAAGGTGTTTGATTTATTCTAGCCTAAGTATTTTCATGTGGAACACTTGTTTCAGACGGGTGTGGGCAGATATAAGATGTAGACAAGCCTTAAAGGTGTCTGGTGCAACCCAGTCATTGTGCGAACTGCTAGGAAAGAGTTACAATCTCTTCCAAACCTCTCTCCAGCAGAAAACAGATTTTCATCACGAGACTAGTATCCCTGTGAAATACTTGTTTCAGTCCCTATGAACACAGTAATTCCACATTTGATCTTTCTTCTGGCAGCACTGCAATCTGCTGTTGTGAACTTCAGCAAGATCAGAGGTGAGAAAGTTGACGTCAGAGACTTGGAGTCGATTATGGAAGGTCTGGGTATTAACTTGAGCAACACTGAGTTCCAGAATGCCTTAAAAACCATCCCTGTAGATGGTAAGTACTAAGGTTGACTTCGTTCCTGGTCCCCATAAGGCAAAGCCTTGGTGGTAGTAGGAAGTCAAGCTTAGATATGAAAATGATGTACCATTGATATGTAAAGGTAAAGGGACCCCTGGCCATTAGGTCCAGTCGTGACCGACTCTGGGGTTGCGGCGCTCATCTCGCTTTATTGGCCAAGGGAGGCGGCGTACAGCTTCTGGGTCATGTGGCCAGCATGGCTAAGCCGCTTCTGGCGAACCAGAGCAACGCACAGAAACGCCGTTTACCTTCCCGCCGGAGCAGTACCTATTTATCTACTTGCACTTTGACGTGCTTTCAGACTGCTAGGTTGGCAGGAGTAGGGACCGAGCAACGGGAGCTCACCCCATCACGGGGATTCAAACCGCCGACCTTCTGATCGGCAAGTCCTAGGCTCTGTGGTTTAACCCACAGCGCCACCCGCGTCCCACACCATTGATATTTAACACCCACTAAATTAGCAAAAATGTATAGAACTGCTTCAAATATTTGTTGGAAATATGAGGAGAAAGAGGGCACATTCTACCATATGTGGTGGACATGCAAAATAACAAAAGCATTCTGGGAAATGATATATAAAGAGTTGGGGGGGAGTTTAAAATAGCATTTTTAGGGGAAAACAGAAGCTTTTCTACTAGGAATTGTAGGTCAGAAATACCAAAGGAGCAGAAAACCGCGACAATGGCAGCGCGGTTACTTTTGGCCCAAAGATGGAATTAAGACAAAGCCCCAACTAGAGAAGAATGGCTGATAAAGATGATGCAGAAGCAACTTGTGTTATCTTTGACAAGAGTTAACTATCTGCCGTGTGCATTCCTTTGGCTGGGCAGCTCCCTCAACATGCAATGTTACAGGAGAGTGGTGGATCCTGGGTGCTGTGGAATCTGGTTTCTATCTGGAGGAATTTTAATCCTCATCCTCAAGGAAAACGATCAGCTTTTGAATCCTCAGGGAAACTTTTTGAATCCCCTTCCTCTAGTTAGCCTGCAAAATGCACTTCCTCGGTCTCGGCCCACCTTGAAGTAAAGAGGATATCTGAGATACAGCCTCATTAGCTTACATGCACTGAGCTCTCTTGCCTCAGAAGAACCAGGATGTGAAACACTGAGTGAGGCACCCCTCCCTATAAAATCATGTCGACTCTTTATTCCTGAGGGGTCACAAACACAGCACCCATGGGTTCCAGTGTGCCTCCTCAGGCACCCATGAAATGTCTCAGCAAATGTCGCCACAAAATTCCACAACGTGTGAGAGACTCTTTGCTGTTCCTGCTCCAGTTCCTGTTTGCAATAGCTTGCCTACATCTGAACAAACACCCCTTAAATGTGCTCAGAGAATAGGTGCAAGGAACCAATCCTTGTGAGTGAGCATGGCAGCAGGTGATATGTGTACCTTTCCCCCCCTATTGGTTGGAGGTGGGCATTGTTTTGTGGCCATTTCTCTCTTTTTGCTTTCTTAGCTGTGGCGGCCATTTTGTGACAGCCATTTTGAGTTATGCTACACTGCCACGGCAGCCATTTTGTGGCTGGCACCCATGGTACATTCTTATAATTCCAAATATGCCTATGGGCCCAAATAAGTCAGCAAAACCCTGTCTTAAAAAGCATTACATGACTGGATCTTCGCAGATCCCAGGGAGCCACTTCTTTCTTATCAACCCTCAATCCCATTGCAACTCTGCTCATTATAGCCAGGAACTTGCGTTATTCAGGACAAATGGGTCAGTGATTGCGAGTGTGCATGACAGGAGAGGGTTTGTTTCCTATTGAGCTGAGTAGCTTGACTCTCTGGAGTCATCTAGAAATACATCTCATCTATAGGGTTCCCATCTCCTTCGTACGGTGAGCTTTACTTTCATTCATTGATTTAACTTTTAAGGGTAGAGGGAAATGGTTTGACCATTCTGCCTTGTGGAGTGGCAGGAGTTAGATTGAATGGCCTCTTCGGTTCCTTGTTCCAACCTTTATGAAATGTTGGTTTTGCAGAATTCGGAAGGGTGACTTTCAAGGACTTCCTGACCAGCGTGGTGAACAATGAGCGTTTCTCTGAATCTGTAGGTTAGTGGGGTCTTCTATGCAGCTTGCAAATGATTAGTTAGAGGGGCCTAAAGATGCATAGTCAAGGTCAGACAAAATTCAAGGTCCACAGCTGCAAATGAAGATCAGAGTGTGTGGTCAACAGAAGGAAGATGCTCTGCTCTGCAAAATGCAACAGTCCAGCTGAGGCATAAAAGGTAAAGGTAAAGGGACCCCGACAGTTAAGTCCAGTCGCAAACGACTCTGGTATTGTGGTGCTCATCTCACTTTACAGGCAGAGGGAGCCGGCGTTTGTCCGCTCCGCAGACAGTTTTTCCAGGTCATGTGGCCAGCATGACTAGCCGCTTCTGGCACAATGGAACACTGAAACCAGAGCAGCGCCGGAGCAGTACCTATTAATCTACTTGCACTTTGACGTGCTTTCAAACTGCTAGGTTGGCAGGAGCTGGGACAGAGCAACAGGATCTCACCCCATTGCAGGGATTGGAACCCCCGACCTTTTGATTGGCAAGCCCAAGGCTAAGTGATTTAGACCACAGCACCACCCGCATCCCATCAGCTGAGGCAAAGGTGCCCATAGAACAACCATTTCACCTGTCTCTTAACTTGGCGACCCGCTTTCCTCTTTGCAGCTGTACATAACCTCTACATGCTCATTAGCAAAATGGATGGTGATAAAGTTGAGGTTTCTCAGCTGAAAGACATACTGGCTCCCATGGGCATCCTCTTAACCAAGGACGACGCTAAGGAGGTGCTGAAGAGCATGTCAGTCAAAAGTAAGAAAACCTTGAGACCAATTTCAAATGGGCAGAGGTTGCACGCGATTGTAGCCCTGCCTAGGTTGTGCCCACCTGGGATTTGCAGGTCTGAGGGGGCTATAGTGTTTGAGTGGCTCTCCCCATGAAGAAACCCTCTTCTAAAGCTAGCACAGCAGTGTCACAGCTCTGCTAAAACCCTTAATGATTTACTAGCCCTCTCAATCCAAATATGGATTATCTCCTATTCCTACCCAGCACTGTCAGGGTCACACGCAATATAGAGTTTGAATGGCCTAGAGTGGCTCAGGAGGCTCCACCCACATTCCTTCCCTACCTACTGGGTTCGGAGTAGTTTTTCTTATCTAGCTTTCTGGCAATCAATAATAATATAATTCTATTTATATGTCTTCATCTGACTGGGTTTCCCCAGCCACTCTGGGTGGCTTCCAATAGTCCTCTTCCTGTCCTGTTTTTAATACTGTTATACTGCAGAATGTGGGGTAAAAGGGAAAGGGACCCCTGACCATAGGTCCAGTCATGACCGACTCTGGGTTGCGGCGCTCATCTCGCTTTATTGGCCGAGGGAGCCGGCGTACAGCTTCCAAGGTCATGTGGCCAGCATTGACTCCCAGCCACTTTGGAGAACCAGGCAGCGCACGGAAACGCACGTTGTACCTTCCTCAACACAGTGTTTGGGTACCTATTTATCTACCTGCACTTTGACGTGCTTTCGAACTGCTAGGGTTTGCAGGAACAGGGACTGAGCAACAGGAACTCACCCCGTCGCAGGGATTCGAACCGCAGACCTTCTGATCGGCAATTCCTAGGCTCAGTGGTTTAACCCACAGTGCCACCTGCGTCCTCCAATGTGGGGGGTGGCCCCCACTAAACCCTAGATATTAATAAATGGTAGGATTTTGATTATTTGGTGTATTGAAGAGAAGATTGCAGGCAAGTGGGAAAATACAGGCTAAGCTTCCTTTCTGTGCCACGGCTTCACCTGGGATAGAGACATTATTAACCTGACAAAAGGTGTTGATGGCCCTGGGCAGACAGAAGTTTGTCATGGTAACTTGAGTGTGAAGTGACAGGAAAAGAGAGTCTTTTAGCAAGGTGTGCTGGGAAGAAGAGGGGAGAGAACAAAAAGAGATCCATCTTGGGCAGGCTGGCTGAAGCCTGGCTGGGAGAGATGCCTTTGACTCCAGTGCTAGCCCAGTCTGAGATGACCAACCGTGCTGCAAGATCTGGACTTCCTCCATGCAGTCTGAAGGTGTAAATAGGTGAATAAACCATATTTCTTAAAAACTACAGCAGTCTCTGCTGTGTCTTCAGTTCTCCAAAGGAACACAAACCCTGGGTAGCACCTGGAACCTCCTGGACTCTTGCTACCATTC